TGAGATAGACGCAAAGCGAAGGACCCGGATGGTGCAGTGGTGAAGTGCGCTGCTCCCCGGTAAAGACAACAGCGCGTGGTCGTTCTCCATTGCATACACCTGTGGTCCGGAGTTTTGCAAATATCTCAGCATTTCATACGAGTTATATTTCGCAACATAACCTGCCATTAAGATGAAAAAGGCAGTAAATAAAAGAGTTAAGATTGTGATTATAACTAACTCTTGTTTCACTTCATAAATTATTTGCATTTATCTACTTTTTACATTCGCGTTTATTAAATTGACTTATGTTATTAACCTTTCTAAAGTAAAGTAAACAGTGCCTTCCTACCAAGACCAATGAAAATGAAGAGCACTGTAGCAAAATGTAAGACTACATGTGCATTGAGCTGGTAAGTAAATATAGATACACAAGATGTATTAAAGGACAACAGATTAAAAGCTCCTTTAAAATCGTAAACGTTTTAAGCCAAGTGGCTGTTCTAATATGAACAAGTTAACGTAACAAAGACCACAACCTGTAGAGTAGTTTCCATCACAAAAGCCAGGGAACAAATCCACAATATGCATATCAGGCATGGCGATATCTGGATTTCGAGTGATTGGAGTCTCCTTCACCCATTCGATTAGTAGCTGATCCGTGGTATACGCATCTACAATTTTAACATATTCCTAATATTATGTATTACCAATTCATCATCAAAAATAAAAGATGAGGGATAAGGAATTCGGTGTTCTCCAGTACCTCTGAAGGATGCACCATGCATACACCGGAGGAGAACTGTTCCTCGGAACATGCGGCAGTGAAGGAGTCGGGGGAGTCGGCATTCTCGTCAACACGAGTTTCTCGATGGACGTCGATTCATTGGAACAACTTACAACCCGAATCGTACGCTTACGATTAAAAAGACGTGGATCAATTCCGGCTTTGGCAATCTTCGTCGTTTACGCGCCGACATCAAACTATGACGAAGAAGAAGTCGAAGCGTTCTATATGGACTTGGATAAGTTCTACAGAGAAGACCACGCAATCTTCGAGGTCATCATTAAAGATTTCAACGCCAAAATTGGAGCAAGAAGAACATCTGAAAAACGTCACATTGGGACCCACAGATGAGAATGGAACGAACAGGGTAAGCGGCCATCTGAGTTTATCATGGCGACCAAGACAATCCATGGTAGCTCGCAATTCAAGAAGCCCCACCATCAACGCTGGACGTGGGAGCCTCCCAGCGGAGAGTACCATAAGGAAATAGACTACGTCGTAGTAAATAGGTTTTGCCCAACCGATGTCTAAATTCCAAAACCGGAATCCCAAGACCACAGTAAACTGGGATCTATTCAATTCATTAGTCGGCTGTTGGAAAGATGCCGTTGTCGATAATATCGACGAAGAATGCGGTCGTGTCATTCAACATCTTCACGCTAGTGCTATGAAAGCTCAGAGTTCGAAAGTCACCAAGAGATGTCTGTCTCCAGAAACACTNCAGGCAACGGCGAAGTAACGTCCGAACTTGCAAAACTATGCAGACAGACGGTAAAAGAAGATCTTAGACAGAGAAGAGAAGAAGTAATGATCGAAGCTGCAGAGGCTGGGAAAAGCATTCGCAAAGCCCACCAAAGCTTCGCTAATTACAAGACCAAAATGATTGCTCTCCGGCTACCAGACGGAACAGTTACAGCGTCCAGAAAGGCAATGGAGAAAGTTATTTACGAATACTACTCGGATCGCCACGGTAGCCACGTCCACTTTCCGTCATATAAAGTAAAGGAGGATGGATATGTTGTACCACCGGTTCTCCCTTCTGAAATCCGACGTGCTATTTCGTCGGTGAAAAAATGAACAGCTACAGGTCCGGACAGGATAAGTCCAGAACACCTGAAGAACCTTCCGCCAGTTCTCGTACATTGGCTCGGCTCTTCACGCTCTACGTGTCTGAATGCAAGGTCCCTACTCAGTGGAAGACCATCAAGACAGTGTTGTTGTTCAAGAATGGTGACCTACATGATATCGGCAACTATCGTCCAATCTGCTTACTGTCTGTCGTCTACAAACTTTTCATTCGAGTCATCCCAAACCGGACTGACAGAACACTAGACGAAGGACAGCCACGTGAGCAAGCAGGGTTTCGAAAAGGATTTAGTACGACGGAACATATTCACACGGTAACAAGGCCCATTGAAGTATGGCGAGAGTGCAAAAGACTGCTCTGGCTCAGTTTCATCGATTTAAAGAAAGCTTTCGATTCAGTTGAGATAGAAGCAGTCTTGGAAGGCCTTAATAGTCAAGAAGTCCCTACTCAGGATATAAATATCCTTCGTGAGCTGTACGAAAAATTCACAACCATGGCTTGACCATTCTACAACGATATTAACATTGACGTCAAAAGAGAAGTTAGGCAAGGCGATACCATTTCGCCAAATTATTTACCTCCACCCTCCAGAACGTCATGCGAACATTGGATTGGAATAATATGGGAGTGAAAATCGACGGTCGGCAGTTACACTATCTTCGCTTTGCTGATGACATCGTCCTTATAACACCAAACATTAGCCAAGCGGTACGTATGCTTGACGACTTTGATAAACCCTGAGGAAAGATTGGTCTTCGACTAAATCTCACAGAAACGATGTTCATGAAGAACGGATTGGTTTCGCATGCCCCTTTCACGCTCAACGGAACAAGTATCTCCGAATGCTCCAGTTATATCTATCTCGGTCGGAAAATCAATGTGAAGAACGACCTAGCTCCAGAGCTGAGCAGAAGAAAACGAGCGACTTGGGAAGCTTTCAAGAGCATCGAGAATGTAGTGAAGAGAGCAAAGAACACCCGACACCGTTCCCACGTTTTCGACTTAACGGTACTTCCTGCCCCAGCATATGCGTCAAAAAGCTGGTCGCAGGGTAAGCAGGACGAAAGGTCACTCAGCGTTGTCGAACGCTCAGTCGAAAGGACGATGCTAGGAGTATCCCGTTCCACATAACTAAGGGATGGGATCCGAAGCTCCGATCTGCGTCAACGATCAAAAATCAAAGAGGCCGTTCTGTACGCCAAACTGTCGAAGATAAGGTGGGCCGGGCACGTAATGCGCATGAATGACGAGCGATGGACAAGAGCCGTTGTTGACTGGATTTTTCGGGATGTCAAAAGTACCGCAGTAAGACCACCGATGGTCAAAGTTTTTCAAAAGAAACCTTGAAGAAAAATATGATGCTCAACGAGTCCCTAGAGCGAGCAGAACCCACTGGGCTACTCTTGCACGCGTCAGTGAAAAATGGAGGATTTACTGGCGCCCGCTCGAGTCACTCGACGATCAACGGGACTACAGGTGATACAGGAATGTGGGTAGCTAGCTTGGAAATAGGACTCGTCATGACTTCTGTGATTAGTTCGTGGTATACTAAGAGCAATGTGAGAAGCCGAATAGAATTGAAGAATTAGAGGAAGAACT